CATCTTGAGAATACATAAATTATATTCGTAAGTTGAAAATACAAAGTTTATTTTTATAGAATAAATTAATTTAAAAAATAAGCAAATAGTGGCCAGCAAGTGATGTTGTGGTTGAAGTGCTGGACTCCATCATGGCTGACTGTGGCTCAAGTCCCAGAACTAGTGACTTGCTTTCTCACTTTCCCTTGCTCTGGTCACTTTCCCTTGTTCTGTCTTTCTCCACTGGTCAACTTAAATAATAAGGATAAATAAAGTTAAATAATAACTTTTTAAAAATATTGTAAATAAATTTTTAAAAAATGCAAAACCAAGGGTAAGAAGAGGATGCCTTTAAATACTTGTCTCTAAATACTGGGTCATCTGAAAAGTCATGTCATATTTTTCCATGCATATGACTTTTTTGATGACCCAATATAACTCACACTATTTTTAAAAGATTAATACAAAATGGTAGCAGAATACATATGCGTTTCATTAGTACACGTTTGACTTTGGGGGATTGTTTTTCATGAATGCTTCTTTCTCCAACGAGAATTTAAGCTAAATCAGAGCAGAAATTGTCATTTTTTTTTCTTGTTTACCTTAAATTCATAGTATCTATCAAAGTAGTACACATTAAACAAATATTTGTTCAAATACATAAATGAATGGAAAAAAAAAACAACCTTGGTTGTACTATATCTTTTGGTTTGTAAATGACATTATGAGGAACCATTTAATCACAAGGCATTGAAACACAAAGAACATACAGAGACCTTAAAAGGACTTGGACAAATGTATCAGAACCCAGGGAAAACTGTTCCTGTAATTTAAGTTTTAATCATAGTCCTCCAATGAAATGTCCCCTAAATATTATTTTAGAACAGGTTCATATGTTTCAGCCTTATTTATATAATAGAATCCTTTTATTTGTCCTTTCTGGCCAATCTTCTTAATAGCTTATTTTGAAATATACCCCTTTATATGCTTCAACTCTATCATCGCTATTTTATTAGTGTCATTGTCATCTATCTTTTTTATGAGGTGTTAATTATAAACATAAAATTGACATGAAAAATATACTTTTACATTATGATTGAAAATTAATTGGGGACTAGCCCCTTAGTCTAGTAGTTAAAGGAGCCATTTTCCACATAAGTCAACCATAGTGTGAACCCCAGCCCCAGTGCCTTAAAATACACAGGGGTACATCTATTGTGTGCCCCAAATACTACCAGGAGAGATAAATGGAGAAGGGATTGCAGTGTGACCATATTCCCATTGAGGGGTGTTTTCTCCCTCTTGACATCTCGCCTTCTCTCTCTCTCTCTAAAGAGTAAATGTAGGGACCAGCAGTTAGCGTAATGGCTATGTCGCTGGACTCCCACGTAGTCAACCGCGGTTCATGTCCTGGACCCGGTGGCTTAAAACTCACACCGGGCGCGTGTGTGTGCGTGCCCAAGATCCTGAGAGGAGTGCAGAGGAGAAGGGATTGTGGCATGGCCATCCCCCTCTGGAGGATGATTTTTCGTTTTCTGTCTCTCTGGTGAACGCACACGCCCTATAGCAAAAACATCTCAAAAAAAAAAAAAAAAGGAAAAAGAAAAAAGAAAGAAAGAGTAAATGTGCCCTCTGGCAATTAAAGCAAAAAGAAAATTATTTTTAACTCAATTTCTGCAATTATTCTTCAAAAACAAATCCTAATAGAGCCTTTGATAGATATAAAACTTGTTTTTAGATTTTTTGTAGAATTATTATAACCAATATAATTATGCTAAAATATTATTCAATAAAAGAAGCACCATTGAAACTTTTTTTTTACAAAAAACAATGAAACGTGCAGCACAGTTTAAACCAGTACAAATCAGTTTGAATAACCTATTTGAATTTCAGATACTCTGAAAATTTGATAATTTGTCAAAGTATGGTGTAAATGATTTCCCAGGGATAAGAACAATATAGGTAGACAGCAGGGATAAGGTCAGAGGAATTGGTGAAACTATTTTCTTATATTCAGAGAGAGAGGTAAAGATAATAACATAAGCAATTTTATTATTTCTTTATACACACTCATCCTGGCAGCCAAGGCAAGATGAGATCCATTCTTAGAACCTTCTATTGGACATGCTTCAAGCAGCATATTAGCTTCTTAGGTCTTTTCAACCACCATTTATCCAAATACATGACAGATCAGGAAATTTGTGGAAATGCTTATTATGAAAAAATATATGTAGATTTCAAAAATGTTTTGCACCAATGTAAACTTGCACTTTTACTCCATTTTCCACAAACATTTACCTTTTTACTCCATTTTCCACAAACTTTCTGAAGTCTCAGATTTCCATCTACAAGCCTTCAGAAGTTGGTCGTGCATTTATTTTTATTTAAAATACTGGATGCAAGGGAAGATATATATAGTTAAGTGTGCTCAGGGTCTTATAATTCCACTGAAATCATCCTGCCTCGGTCCCTGCAGTTAGATATGAAAGGAGTATCATTTTGTCAGTCTGGATTCAAATTCAATATAATAGTGCTGAGTAAAATGTAGGAAGATTGAAGACTAGACAGTGAAAAGAAAGCAGAAGTCAAAAGAAACTTTAGAGATTAATACTGTTTCACAAAAGTTATCAGAGCCAAACTTTCTGTCACTTGTTTCCTAAGATAATGACATTTCTAAAATTTTCATCAATAACATTAAAGTCCCCAAAGCCAAATATTCATTGGCAATCATTTCCCATAAAAAGCTTTGATTTATTAACAGGACCACCTTTTTTTGCTTTTTTATAGGGTCATGTTACATGTTTCTTCTTGTAGCATAGAAGGCTTTACAGCAATTCAGATTATAAATCTTTAGGAGGTAATTATTTTTCTATTTGTTTCCTCTCATGCCAGATTTAACAAGTGGCATTAAAGGTTTTTCAAAGGGGGGGGTGTCATATTTCCATTATCCCTATGTAAAAGTTACCAAACATTTTGATAACTGCATGCTTACAGTTTTTATACTAAATCTAAATAAGGATGTAATTTAACATTTCTTTAAAAAATACCTTTGACCTCATAAAGAATGAAATTAGTCATTAGATGATTAGAGATTTTTTTTAGAGATTTTTCTACATGGCAGACAAAATTTAGTATATGAATCTTACCCAAAAAACAACAACAAAACCAAACCAAATGAAACCTAACAAAACAGCAGTAAGGGAAACCAAACAAAAGAGATTAAGATATTTAAAACTTAAATTGGGCAGAATTTGAATTTTGCACTGTGCCATATTCAAATTAGTCCTAGACAGCAAAAAAGTCAGTCAATACTTCATAGACATGGAATATTTGGGGGTTTGGGAAATACAATTGTTTTTTCTCATCCATTTCTTTTAAAATGATTTGTGCAGTTATATTAAGTCATGATCTCCTTAATAGATTTATTTTGAAAATTGACTTCCAAGAACAATTTAATAAAATTGTATTAGGTGAAAACAGTGTTTATTATTTTCCTGTGTATAGTCATTGAGGATGTATTGGAGTTAGAACTTTGGTAAATATAAAGCACAACCAATATATTGATGTAGGGATTGAAAATAATTTACAAAATTAATTTAATAAAATGCCTTTAACAGTAACTAACAATTATTATCAAAACGACAATGAAACTGTCTGCATTTTCACTTAACACATTTAAGGCAAATGTTCAATTAATATAAAAATAATATGCAGGAAACTGATATCTGACATAAGATAATGTAAAAATGAATGTTCATAGTGAAGGCCTAAAGTTATGACAATATCTCTAAATGCCTTCCAAATGCATTTAAATTTCTTAGTTGTGTTGAGCACAGAGCATTCATGACCTAATAAGATGTCGATTGGAATATCCAGAATAATTTTTAAAATTGAACACTACAGGGGCCAGCAGGTGACATAATGATTACAGTGCTGGATTCCCACATGGTCAGCTGTGGTTCAAGTCATGGACCTGGCAACTTGAAACTCACACCAGGTGCACATGTGACCACGCCCTAGATCCCAGGAGAGGGTATTGCAGTGTAGCCATCCCACCAGGGGGTGATTTCTCACTTCCTCTCTGTCTCTTCAGCGAGCAAATGTGCACTATAGCAAAATATCTCTCTATAACCAAAAAAAAAAAAAAGAACACTACATTTTCCCTACCATGCCAGGTAAAATAATTTAATATACTTAACAAAAAGCTCATACTAACTTCAAACTATAGTTTGTTTTAATTTTTAGTACTATTTTTTTTCCTTAAAGATCTCTATAGTAGATATTCTAATCCTCATGCTATTCCTGAAAGGAACAATATATTTATTTTGAAAGTTTTACTGTAATTTACTCCTAAAATTTATGTGGAAAAGATTCATCATAAAACATCTACCATGTATACGTGTCAAGATTGATTCTACTACCATTTTTTAAAACAAGTACAGGCTGTGATATCAGACAAACTGGGTTTCAACATCTAACTACACTGTGACCCTGGGGAAGTTACAAATATCTTTGCGCCTCAGTTCCTGAACTACAAAATGAGAACATTTCCACAGTCCTCAAAAGGGTAGAGTGGAGTTTAGAAAGAGCTAGTGCACACACCTAGCACAAAGCTACAGGTAGTGCAGAACATATTCCTGGCTAATTGGAGTTTAGTGATGAAATAATGAAAAAGTTCCTGGAATAAATCAGCTCCATCAAAAGGCTCATTCATCTACATTGCAGGCAATAGTTACACATTTCCAAAGTAACATTCATAAAGATCAAAACATTGCTTTAAAAATGTATTTACAATTTATATGCAAGAAAATATTTTTTTCAGGGCAGCAATGAGAAAAAAAAACAAGTAAGCAACATCTGTGTGTATAGTTTAATTTTGTATAAATGAAGAATTACACCCAATTCTTCTAAATGTTGAATGTTCATGGACAGGTAACAGAAACAAAGCTATGTCATATAGTAATCTATATTAATATTTTTAAAAATATCAAAATAGGGTTTCTCTAAAGGAAAAGCCTCTCTTTAATAAGATTGATAATAATTAAGAGTTCCTATTATTTGTCCATGAAATCTGAGAAAGGTGCTATTTCAAACAGGATTCTAGTAGAACTTGGCACATAAATTTTAACTTTTCAACCACCTTTTACTTTCTTGTAGCATCTCTCACTCAGGCAATCTCACATATACATACTTTAATATTAAAAACACACATGGCTTCAAAGCTACAAATTCATTCTAAAATTACGTTTTCTACAATAAAAGCACATGATCGTATTTATAGCCAAAGCTTCAGTCACGGAAATGGATTTTCCTCACAGGACTATTAATTAACTTACACTATTACGTTCACCATTTCAAAAGGTTTGTCTCTAGGAGGATCTGTTTGATTGTGTGCAATAATTCTAAGGCATTATAAGTAGTTGTTCCACAAGACAGTGCTGTCCTTTCAACAATATACTCTTGACAGAGTTAACAAGTCTTCAGTCTTCAAATGTCACCAGCCAGACACAGGGAGACATTCATAGTCTACAGGTGATTGGCTCAAAGGTCAAAACTGGTTTTAAAAAATGTTTATGGAATAGCACCATAGAAAGTCTTTCAGAAACAAATCCTTTCCTCCATCAATGCATTTTCTTTTAAGTGAATCCCAGGAAGAGAGGGGAAAAAAAGAGAGATCTCTCAATTCTTACAAAGCCTACTTTTGCTTCATTTCAATGTTTTAAATACATTAACCATTGACAACATCAATAACAATAACTACAACAATAACAGATCAACAACAAAAGCAAGACAATAGCAGCAGTAGTATCTTGGATATGAACCATCCAGGCAGTCATTTAGTAGAATCCTGCTCACACCTCTTGGGAGGTTTCTCATGAGGTTCATAAGACATCACAGGTTTCTTGGATTTGGTGGGAAAAGGCAGCACTTCAACAAAAGAAAACTGAGTTTACTGATTAACTGTGCATTTTCCAGTACTTAAATAAATGATGTCTAGAGTTTAACTGCAATAATAGACACTATCACCATTTCAAATTTGTCAAAACAGAAGTAGAAGGAAGTGATTCCAAGATCATTTGTGTTTCAAAGACTGTTAAGCTGGCCTGCAATTGAAAACAATTAAGCTGAAATATTCCAGTTTCCAAACATTAGACACACACACACATGCACACGCACACTCACACACTTAAAGTATAAACCACTCTCAAAGAAGTCCCATTTCACATCACCTTATGCAGATCTGGTTTATATTGTATCCAAGATACAAAGTCAAAGCAATCATCCTAAGACCTAAGAAGAGGGCTTTCCAGTTTATGACCTACAAGACCATTTTATGTTCCCAAATCTTGAAGTATTTTCAAAAAGCACACTCCACAGGGTCACAGCCCCGGACTTGAACTGTCTTAATAACAAGGCATATATGTCAAACTGTGAACAAAAACATATCGAGTCTTCCTTGAAGCATGTGATGCCCTTCCACCAGTTTCACTAACACCATTAGGCATGGAGTTCAAACATCCTTTTACTGTTGACCATGTTAGCTGGAAACTTCTCTTTTAGTACAGAGATAACTCTGGTCTTATAGTTTTCTTTTGTTCAAACTCATTGTATAAAACATTTGTGCTATGTCTTCAGTTTTTTTTTTAAAAAATAATAAGTCTTCTCTCCATTATGCACATTCCTTTATATTCTGACAGAGGTTTTGGTGTTATTTTTTGGTATGGATGGTGTCTGGATATCTTATGCTTTTGTATCTTATGTGAAATCCTTTCTTGTTGATTGTGTCATCAGTGTGAAAATGAATTAAAACTGCATCCCCAATTGAATAGATTTCTTCCGGTGGCTGAAGAAAAGAAAAAAAAAAAAAAAACAAGTAAGTAAACAAGAGAGTAAGTCACTTTTTTCTTCAATATAATGCAGATTTGGCATATTTTTCTTTAGCATACTATGTAATCCTTCCAATAACCTTGAAAAGTAGATATAATTGACTCCTTCATTTTATAGATGAAATTTGATATTTAGAGAAGAAAAGGACATGGTAAGAGTTCACATGGTTACTCATGTGCTTTGAACATGCAAGGGGACTTGAAAAAGTTCATAGAAGATGGAATTAAAGTATGAGTTTATTTTAATGCAAACAAAAAAATAGAACCCATGCGTAGTTTTTGCATATTGTGTATTTTCCATGAACTTGCTGAAAACCTCTCACATATTACACTGTCTTCAAGTTTTGGACAATTACTTATTCATAATTTGGTGTTTTTTTTTCACAAACCTTTAACCTAAGTCCTTCTGATTTACAAATAAAAAAAAGTGACTTTTAAAGAGGATAGATATTCTTCTCCTGTCCCTCCCCTCTCCCCAGGCTGCTCTGAGGTGAATCTATCTCCAGAATCTAAAACATCTTTACTTCTGTTTATTTTCTTTTTTCACATTTTATTGATTCACAAACGATCTTAATTAAACTAAATACTTTTAATATACTTGATATAAACTTATCTATGAACACATGTCTGACTTGAGGCATAAAACTCAGTGAGTAGAAAGAACATGCTGTAAAGTAGCACCTAGCTGAGACTATATAGCTTACTGCAGTCATTAAGTAGGTATGTTATTTAAATTTAGGGTTTTTTTTTTTTTTTGGAGAGGTTTTTGCTATAGGGCGTGTGCACTTGCCAGAAAGACAGACAGAGACAGGGAGACGGAAAGTGAGAAATCACCCCCCAGGGGGGATGACCACGCCGCAATCCCTTCTCCTCCACTCTCCTCTCGGGATCTTGGGCACACACGCACATGCGCCCAGCGTGAGTTTATGCCGCCGTGTCCGGGACTTGAACCGTGGTCGACAACGTGGGAGTCCAGTGACATAGCCATTACGCTAACTGCTGGTCCCTTTTGTTTGTTTTTTTATGTATTTATTTTTTAAAATTCAAGAAAAACAGTTTTAGCTTTAGTAAATCAAAATCAAAAAATGTTAAGAAAAATTTGCTTAAGACTTAAAGCAGGGAAAAAGGTTAGATTTCTCTTCAAACCATAGGTAGAGACTAAAAACTAAAAAAAACAGATGAGGTTTTAAGAATGGAAGTACCAAGAAACTTTTTTGTTTCATTTCAGTTCCTGCTTGTGCAGGAGGTCAACAGTATTATTTAAGGACTACATACCAGTAGATACCCCAAACATTATAGCTAGTATTTTTAAACAAAGTATGCATTCAGAAGACTATCCAATAATTATACAGTAGGTCCTGGAAAAAAAAAAAAGCACTGAGAAGATCCTAAACTTTTTATTCTCTTATTTTATTTAGGGACCTCCTCTGACCTGGCATTCTGTATTGCACGAGTGGTGCAGAATTGAACAGGATTTCTGCAGTGCTAGTTACATACCCTAGTAGTGTGTGCTGCTATCATCAAATACTGAAAAAGAATGTGAATTAGATGGTGTGCATATTCCTTTTTCTTTTATGCTTTACTGTAGGAAGATGACAAAATGGTTAAGGGCATATAAATGATCAAGGGTGTGAATTTAAGTATGGGCTTTTATATTGGAAGACTTAAATATTTATCTCATAGTAAAATGTTATAACATGAAAATAAACAAGAAATGATAGCTACTGAATTCACCTATCCCATCTGATATGATCAGGTAAATCAATTAGAAATGGAGAAGTAATAAGGATAGAAGAGTCATGATATACTTTACAAACTATTAATAATAAATGTACTTTTTTGCAAAAATATTGTCAGTTTGTAAGTCTTACGGATTTGAATCATAAATCAATAGGCATTATTTTTATCATGTCCATGGTGTCTTGTATTGGCTGTATATTTACCCCAGATCCACAGAATCGACCAAGCCCCACAGCTGTCGAGTCAAGACCATCAAAGAGCTCAACATAGTCATAGCCACAGTCAGCTTCTTCTTCCACTTCGAAAGTCTGGAAGGACAATTCAAGTCGAAAGCCCCGTTCTGATACTAACAGCCATTCACAGTCAACCTGTCCTGGATAGTTGTTATCACCAAACTGAGCATGTGAGTACAGATCTCTCGGTTTTGATTCTGCTTTCAATCGGCCACCACACTCTGACCAGGAGAAAAAAAAAAAAAAAAAAAGAAGAAGAAATGAGTAAATTCAATGAACATTACAGGAACAATTTCAATTTCAAGGTAGACTAACCATTCTCTAAGTTTTATCTCTTATTTCCAGTACCAGGTATGTTTTCCATTATTAGAGAGTCAGCTAGCGTAATGAACACAGGGAAGAGCCCCTGGACACACACTGCCAGGCTGAATCTACACTCCAACACTTGGAGCTCTGTGACTTTGGGGAGTGATGTCATCTCAGATCCATAGTTTTCTCGAGGGTGAGAAACAGATGATAATAAATGTATTCATCTTGGCGGGGTTTTAGAGTATAATACATGAAAATTGCCACATAATAAATTTCTATTTTTAAAAATTTCCATATCTCATGCTGTTTTTTAGCCTCGAATAACATGAAGGAAAGGTCAGAGTCTTAACTTCAGCTTAATCTTAATCATTTAAGGGCCCAAACCCAAAAGGAATAAGAAATGACTTAAAAAAATTAATGAAGTATATGAAACTTAAGAGTGTGGGTGTGTGTATGTGTATGCATGTGATATAGAACTTCTTATTTAAAATACACAGAACACTATTATTCCATTCAAGTAGAAATATTTTAATTGATTAGGAAAATACACACAGGGCCAGCAGGTGGCATAGTAATTAAGGCACTGGACTCTTTCATGGCTGACCACAGCTCAAGTCCTAGACCCGATGTGCATACCCGAAATCCTGAGAGGATAATAAAGGAGAAGGAAATACGGCATGGTCATCCCCCTGGGAGGTGACTTCTCCCTTTTTCTCTCTCTGTTGCTCTCTGTTTCTCCAGCATACACGTACCTTACAGTAAAAATCTCTCTCTAAAAAAAAAAAAAAAAAGAACCCACAAATCATTAATTATAGTTATCTTTGTAATTTCAGGACCGATTCAGTTATATTTTATCTGTTTATTTTAATAAAAAAATTAAATGCTCTTTACGGCATTTATGATATGAATATGCATATTTTCTACCAGTTACTACTTTTGTCACTAGAGGTAGATATATCAAACAAATAAACAAGTTGTGCATTTAAATTATAGTTCGTTTAATATAGAAAATGAAAATTTTTTTATTTTTGGAGAGGTTTTTGCTATAGAGCGCATACGCTTGCCAGGCAGAGAGAGAGAGACATAGAGACAGAAAGAAAGAAGTCCCCCCCCAGAGGGGATGGCCACGCCGCAATCCCTTCTCTTCCGTTCTCCTCTCGGGTCTAGGGGAAACACGCACACACGTCTGGCGTGAGTTTTAAGCCACTGGGTCCAGGACGGGAACCATGGTCGACTACATGGGAGTCCAGTGACATAGCCATTACACTAACTGCTGGTCCCAAAAATAAAAATTTTTAAGAAATTTTCTCAGGAACTCTTTGTATTCAGAGCCACCAAACTGTATTAAAACTACAGATTACATAAAGGCAGAGAGAAAAAGAGAGGATCTATAATGCCCCACCAACCAATACATATGTGAACATTGGGGTGGGAGGGACGAGACCGAAGTCAAAAAGCTTCAGCAAAGAGGCGTGTTTCTGTCCCTGTTTGCCAGGGAGAGGTTTCCTGGGAAGCAGACATTTCAGTGCTAAAATAAAAGAATCCAATTTGGTAAGATCTGGAGAAACAAAACCACTAGATATGAAAACATAATTGTAACACTGTCATGGGGGTCTATGACCAGACAGTCCTTAGTGAAAATGGATTAAGCAGCTGAAATCCTTACTTGAACTTTCCAGATTTATAGATCCTTTACCCATATTGTGGCATGGTGATTTTAACTAACAGTGTATTTCTGAATTTCCAGGTATGGAGTCCCATCTAAATATGCCTGAATACATGGGAGCTCAACTACACAAATGGGCACTGTCACAGACAACTGCACATTCAGAATCCACACGTGGTCAACATATGAAAGAACTCCCAGCTAGGGTTCCAATCACAAGAATGCTTTCCTGGAGGACTGTGTTACATGGGCAATCTAAATGTTCTTCTATCAAGCAAGTGGTAAGTGAAGTATCTTTTACCAGCCATCAATGTAGGTAGCACTATTACGAAGGTGTGGATCAGAGGAAACATTCTTTGGAACCACCAAAGCCTGGAATACTGATTAGAATTGAGATTTCATCTCCCACGACCCACAGACAGGAAGCAGAGCATCCTCCCGTTCCCATTATGGCACTTTTCTTATCCCACCAACTCTGAGAGTTATTGACCTCACCCTGTGGTAAATTTCACAGCCAAATTTCCTGAGTCCACGTCGGAGATCTGTTTACCATTCTAAAATAGGGATTGTACAGAGAACTCACATCACAGGGTTGAGGTGAAGAGCGAATGATTTAGTATATGTAGCCTGCCGGAAATGTGCCTGGCACCTAATGCAAGTCGTATAAGGTTAAGCTATCCTTATGACTGTTATTATTTTCCTGTGAGACTATCTAAATAACATCTTCTAGGATCCACTCAGGTATGAAATGAAAACCCATGAACAATAAATTAAAGCATTATTAATGTGTTATCAGCAAAGGGAAATTTTATTTTTGAAGCCAATAAGTATTTTATGCAAAAGTACTTCCATATTCAATATATAAATATGTAAACCAATGTGATCTCATTTAGTGAATTTTTACAGTTCTATTTATATTCAAGTTTGATCTAATTAGCTGATTCATTTTGTTTTTAACTTTTCAAAAGCTGTCAGCACTTGTGTTACTTTTGCCACCCACCCCCCACCCCACCCAAGGAAGAGCTGAAGGGGAGGAGTACTGAAAGTTAAGGAGGGCCGTTTTCTTTTTAATTTTTTTGTTTGCTACAGGGTACACGTGCTTGTCGGACAGAGAAAGGTAAGACTGGAGGAAAGTGGGGAATCACCCCTGAGAGGGTCGTGGCCATACCACAATTCCACCTCCTCCAGTCTCCTCTCAGGATTTTGTGCCCACATGCACTTGTGTGTCTTGTGTATTTTTCAAGCTGCCGTGTCTGAGATGTGAACCATGCAGTTAGCCATGTGGGATACAGGCACCTTAACATCTATTCCACTTGCTGGTCTGCACTTGCTATTTTTATGTGCCTGTTTCACACGAACACAGTAGCAAAACAAAACCAAGATCCAGTAGACATAATCTTCTGTCAGTCCCAACTTCGAAAACAAGAAGGAAATGAAGTAGTTCTGAGAAAAGAGATTTTATAAGTTTTGTAAATCTAAGAATCACTGAAAGGTGTTATATAATTTTAACAACAACAAAAAAGCCTTCTACAAAAATGGCCTACCAAAGGGACCAGCAGATGGCGTTAATAGCTATGTTGCTGGACTCCCATAGTTGATTGCAGTTCAAGGCCCAGACCCGGTGGCTTAAACTCACGCTGGGTGTGTGTGCATGCATGCCCAAGATCCCAAGAGAAGAATGGAGAAGGGATTGTGGCATGGCCGTCCCCCCACTGGGGGGTGATTTCTCACTTTCTGTCTCTCTGTCTTTCTGGCAAGTGCATGCTTTCTATAACAAAGACCTCTCAAAAAAATAAAATAAAATAAAATAAAGGCCTACAAAAGAATTAAACAACATTGCAGAATAACTCAAAATACTGCAAAAGGCCCCCTGTTTTCCTTCATCTGCTTAGGGCACACCCTCATTCTTATGGATCACTGCTCAAACTAATAAATCTGGAATTAATGTTCTCATCATGAAAAATAAACACTCTCGCAAGAGAATTTAGTCCACAGGATGAATTTTTTAAGGATGAACATTTGAATAGTATATGTGCAAGGTGTGATTTAATATGCCCTAAGAGAAATTCCACGAGCATAAAATAAGAAGCAGCAAGAGGCAATTGCTTAAGTGTTCTTGTGAATTCTCATGGCCAAACTATGGTCAATATATCACGTAACAGAGCCCTTTAAAAATGATTTTTAAATTGAGAAAACACACATTTTCAGCAAATATTCATTTACCAAGTCAGAAAGAGATAAATGCAGTTATTTAGGACATCAGAATGCTGTTTTTAAGTCAACTGTTTGAAAGTATTTTACAAGCTGCCAGAACAGCTACAGAATTCTGAGAAATGGAAAATGCAGCTGAATAAGAAAGGTAATAAGAAAGACAGAGAAGCCTGGGGTGGTCTTGATTTTAACTTGGAAGGACAGGTTTGTTTATTTCCTGCTAGCGTATTAAATTCCAGGAGAGACCCTGTAATGTGACCTACAAATGCTCTTCGTGGAAATTCTAATTTAATTTATTTAGATAAAAATAATTTCCTAAGAAGTTGAGTAATATATTGTTTGATTTTTAAATGTCATTGAAAAATAGTATGATGCCTTATACTACCAAAAAAATAAAAGAAACGTTAACAGAAGATAATATGCTTTATAAAATTATTTTCATTTTTTATTTCTCTTTCTGTGTTATAGCCAAGTCCTTTGATAAAAGACACAGGATATTATTTTATTTTTACAAAAAGATTTGTTTCCTTCAATTAGTTTACTGAAGGGTTGAGTAATACCATTTGTTATCTGACTAAAATAAATTTGGGCTTAGAATTTTATCAATTGTCAGAGGAAGAAAAGACTCTTTCCAATAAAGTCCATTTCCATGGTCTTAGATAGAATGAAAATGTATGTTTATAAAGATGTGGCCATAAAACTATATACCAGTAATATCTATAATCATCTGATTTAAAAAAAATCACAGTTAGAAACTATTCTTGTGAATAAACCTGAAATTTTATACAGAAATATAAATTTACTTAAATTAAAATGTACACTTGAGGGCCCATCAAAAATAGCTACATATATTCTAAAAGTAAATAGATAATGAATACATGCTTTAAGCATGTAGCCAAAGCTGACAAACGTTGTACCAGACGTGGCTGTTTTGTCCGTAGAAACGAAAAGATAAACTAAAAATCAGAAATGTTAATTTATTAGATTATAAGCTGTCGACAAGAAGGAATTCTTTCTATAGCCCTATAAATTTCCACACGTACTTTTCCTTGTAAATTACTAATACCTTACAGTGTCTGTCCAAAGCAGATGCCAAATAAATATTTGATGAAAGACAGTAGAATAAATGAGACTTTTAAAGTGAATTCTTGGAGGAGAGGTAAACAGCAGGCAGTAGATAAGACTATTTCAGCATGAAGGGCTATGCTTTCAAAAAGTAGCAGTACGAACTTTTACTCAGCAAATTCCAAGAAAGCTGAGTATGTAAAAGCAAAAATGTGTACATATTGACAAAAAAAAAAAAAAAACAAAAAAAAAAACGACATGACAAGTGATG